AGGTGGGTGTGACTTGCTGGCCAGGGAGTTTTACCAAATCAGTGAGGCTCTATGTACAGTGAGGGATCCTTTCTCAGAAAAGTAAAGCAGAACACGAAAAAGGAAAATACCCGATGTCAACCTCTGCCTCCACATGCACATTGAAATGACAATCTTTTACATAGATTAGGTGAAGGTAAACAACTAAAGTTAATTTCACCTGCTCCTGTTATGTTAAATTTTTATTGAACTCGGGTCTTAAGGCTTACACAAACAGAGCTTTATCCATTGAGCCATCTCACCAGCCCATTACCTTTTTTTTCATTTATTATTTATTTATTTATTTATTTATTTATTTATTTTTATTTTTTATTTTTTGGTTTTTCGAGACAGGGTTTCTCTGTGTAGCTTTGCGCCTTTTCCTGGAACTCACTTGGTAGCCCAGGCTGGCCTCGAACTCACAGAGATCCGCCTGGCTCTGCCTCCCGAGTGCTGGGATTAAAGGCGTGCGCCACCACCGCCCGGCTATTTATTGGTTTTTTGAGACAGGGTTTCTATGTGTAGTTTTGGTGCCTGTCCTGGATCTCACTCTGTAGACCAGGCTGGCCTTGAACTCATAGAGATCTGCCTGGCTCTGCCTCCCCAAGTGCTGGGATTAAAAGGCTTGTGCCACCACCACCACCTGGCAGCCCATTACTTTTTTAACATAATCCCTAAAATATTTAAACTTATATGTGTGGCTTATATCCTAGCTCTGTTGGATAGTGATACTTCAGTTCACAAAGACAACAAATGTCAAAAGTGGGCTCCATCTCCTTTCCCTCACTCCACTGGCCAGTCCCTTAGGTATAATACAAGCAAGACTTGAAGCTAACAGCTCTGTCCCACTCTCTGAACAGCAGGAGGTTATTCACTGTCATCTCTTTAGATGGCTCTGAATTGAAAGACTCTCTTTTTCTATATCCTGTTTGTCCCATCCCTAAAAAAACTGTCTAAAATCCCTGTGAGCTCTGTGAGTGAAGGAATAGGGGCTGATGGTAGTGTACCTGTACGTGCCCAGGTATACTCGCACTTAGAACACTAGAAGGAAACAGTAGTGTGTAATTATCCACCACTGCCACCCACAGAGGGAAAAAAAGACAACACTAGTAGATCAGTGGGTTGGAAGGACAGACAACTATGGCAGCAGAAGGGGATGGGGAGGAAGTCGCTTTTCTTCTGCAAATCAAACCTTGAAATGAATTGCTTGCTCCCTCTCAGCCACCATAGAAAACAGGAATATCAGAGGCTATCAACGGAAGGCCATTAGGCCAACTCTGTCATGGAGAAGTGCAAGAAACATTGAAGAACAGGAGTCTCTCAGAAAAAAAATACTATTTTTTTAGGGAAAATTAGATTAAGGAGTAGGACAGGACACAAGACCAGAAGCCCTCACGCAGGATCTGACACAATCTCAATCATTGAGATTTTCAGGGACTGAAAACTAAAGTATTATTCATACTATTACCATTTGAGTAAACAAAGTATTGCTGCCCAAGTTAACTGGCCTGGCCTGACCTGCTCCAGTGAATCACTGGGGCTTCTGTTTTGAGTGATAATTGTTTTCTAGAGAGTGAGCTGAGGGACTTGCCACTCAAAGTGTGGTACCTGGAACAGCAGCAGCATGAACACAGAACTTACTAGAAATTGGGACCCTAGACTGAACCAAGTTAAAGAGAACCTTTGCTAAAATGCAGTGAGTTTGCCATCTTGCAATGGGATTCAGCATTTTAACAAGGCCATATGATGTGTTCACATGCTAAGGTTTGAGAAGTACCTGAAGTTTTTAACCTCCTGATTTTCATTTGCTTTAACAAACTCTTCTTGGTAAATAAACAATGATAGTTTTTCAGTCTAAATTAGACTTTCTGGAATTTGCCCCAATGTGGCTCTTTGTTTTTCTTTCTTTCTTTTTTTTGACTGTAGCTAATAATACTGATTTCTCTTTTAACAAGTGCATCAGTGTTTCCAGGTGGTACTTGGATGGAATCCCTGAAACAAGGCTATAAAAAGCCAGACGTTTTTTCTCTTAGAAGTTTCCAACTTAAGTATCCCCTGAGGCAAATAGTTTGTGCATAAGGGAGGCAAATAATTTTATGTGAAAAAAAGATGAATATGTGTATGATTAACATACTACCCTCGTGTATATCAAAATAAATGGAGAAAGTGCCAAAATCAACTTATTTTAGAGTGTCATATCCTGAGACATGAAAAGAGGGTATGTGCACCAAAACTCAGAAAATAAATTTACTACTTCTAATATTAGTTAAAATATGTCTGTCAAACCTCTTCCACTATATAGATTCTTTTACTCATTTGGTGTACTTATATCCTCCTGGTATTTTAGTGTTATCACTGTGATTATTTGATAAAGTTTCCATTTGTTTACTCTGGCCAAAGAGCAACAGAAAACATTTAAGGATATTGAGCATTTTAAAACAAAGCATTTGTTTCTCGGTGGACCTATTTGAAAGAGACCTGTTTATTTAAAAAATTGGGTCTCAAACTTGACATAAATTCCCCAAAGATAGTAAAACCAAATTAACAAAGGAGAGTGTATTTAGATCAGTGGTAGTTAAAAGTAAACTCTAGTATAGGATACATAAAACCACCATTTGGTATTATTATCACTATATAACATCAACCATTTGAACCACCATCGCTTAATAGAATCTATGTCTTTACCTTTAAACTCAATGGTTCTAAACTACCTGTATCCAATATGTTTATTTGTTTATGTCAGATTGATAATACAGTACTTTATCTGCCACTGGTAAAATGTAATTCGTACAAAGAAAATTCACACAAAAGTGTCTAAATCCAAACTTATAACTAAAAAAAACACTCTTAATAGCAAAAGTAGCAATAATAATGACCTAACTAAAAATGAACAAAAGAGCTGGATAGACATTTTCCAAAGACATGCAAATACCCAAGAGGTGTATGAAAATGTCCTACATGTCAGTACTCAGGGAAGTCAAAATCAAAACACAGTGAAATCACACATCATGCCTGTTAAGAGGACTACTGTAAAAGTCAAAAGAGGCAAGTGCATAAAAAATATATAAAAAACTGCACACTGCTGCTTGGAATAAGAATTGGCACTGCCATCGAGGTAAACAGTATAGAAGATCTTCAGAAAATTCAAAATAAGACTACCATAACAATCCAGCCGTTCTACTACTGGTTATATTTCCAAAGGAAATAAAAGTATTTTGTTCAAACACAGCTCAATCTCATGTTCACTGCAGCATTTTTCCTAATAACGAAAACATAGAATCAACCTAGATCATCATCAGTGAGCAAATAGGTAGAAAATGTGTGTGTGTGTGTGTGTGTGTGTGTGTGTGTGTGTGTGTGTGTGTGTGTTATGATGAGTGTCTGTGTATTACTTAACCACAAAACAAGGAAATGCTATCTTTTCCAATAACATAGATAAACTTGGAGGACATCATGCTAAGTGAAATAAGCCAGACACAGAAGGGCAGAAAAGATTTATATGTGTAATCAAAAAAAAAAAAAGGAAGTGCTAGATAAAGAGAATATAACAGTAGTTGACAGTGGCAGAGAATGGAGGATGGGGAAATTTGGTGATGCTGGTCAAATGGTACAAACTTTCATATAAGAATATATAACATGTATAATTGTCAATGATCTTATGCAGAGCATGATGACTTTAGTTACTAACAATGTGTTGCATGCTTCAAATTTGTTAAGAGTACATATTAAGTGTCTATACGTTGTATACCAATTTCCTTCAAAGTTTATTAAGATGTGAGAAGTTCTTTTTTTTTTTTTTTGGTTTTTCGAGACAGGGTTTCTCTGTGTAGCTTTGTGCCTTTCCTGGAACTCGCTTTGGAGACCAGGCTGGCCTCGAACTCACAGAGATCTGCCTGGCTCTGCCTCCCGAGTGGAGAAGTTCTTTTTTAAGGGGGGTTTTTAGACTGGAAATTTTAAAGGAAGATTCCTTAGGAATCAAAAAGTAAACAACTCAGAAACCTGGAGAAGTTCTTGAAACTGACTAGGTATAGTAGGCCCCTCCCTCCCTAAGCTTACGTAATCAGTAAGGATTGCTGAGGAGACAGAGGCCAGGTCTGAAAGACAGAGAACTGCCAAGCTGCATGGAAGTGGCACGGACCAGCTGGCTGCACCAAAGATACTCTAAGCTGTGGAGCTGCATGCATCTCATGCAGTGAGCTCTGGGATTCCAGTCTTTGTGAGTAGCCGCCCATGATGGAGTGGGCTTTCAGTCATTCCTGCTTCTATAAGTAACCCTTCATTCATACACTTATAAGTAGCCCCAGTGAAACTCTAGTAGTTCATTAAGCTGGACTTCGGTGGTGTCATTGCTTTGGTCTGTTGTCAGTTCCCTTCCTGGAGTGAGTAAACACTTGTTCATGGCTCCCCAGAAACAGTGTCACACAATACCATCCCATAGACAAACACAAAACAGTCAATGTGGTGATGGGTATGCTGATTTCATTGTGGTAATCACTTTACAGTGTGTACCAAACCATGACATTATATACATTAAATATATTCAATCTTTATATGTCAAATAAGCCTCAGTAAGGCTTAAAGAAAAAAATAAATACTCTCCTTCAAGGCAGCTGAAACAGATGGAGAAGAACATGTAACCATGGTGATAAATATCTTTAAATTCATGACCTTGAACCTCACCTAGACTTAGATTTTACTCTGCTCTAAGCAGCCATAACAAGTGTCCCCAGTCACAGTGGCCCACTCCTTTGGACAGGCATTGCATACATTTTCTATCTTCAACCCTTCAATATCTGCTCACCATCTCATATTTGATGAACTCTATCCCTATTTCCCTGAAAAACACAAAGAAGCAGAAGAGAACACCTGTGGCTCTCTACACCCTGGAAAGTGGACTATAGACTGTGGATCATCACAACTGTCGGGGCTGCCTAGATGACCACCATTCTGTTTGTCTTTAGCATCTAGGAAGCTCCACTTACCATCTCCTTCTTATCTTCCTGGAAGTGAACATTCACAAACATTTTCCCCACAACATAAGGGAGGGCACTTTCGATAAAGTTAACACATTTGTCCCACTGAGGCAGCAGAGTTGTGGTCCCCTGGATTACCTGCGGAAAATAATCAATACAATTTGAGCTTTGTTTAAATAATATCTATTGCTGGGGGTGGGGGGAGTCAAGCCATCTGAATAAAGCAGTCTACAAAAATACTTCCCACCCCATCTCATACACATGCCAAATAGGAAAGGCCAAGGTGAAATAAGATGGAGAAAATAAAACTCTGTTTGTCCCTAGTTTCTAGCTACAACGAAATGAAAATGTTTTGGCAGTGGAAAAACAATGCATTTTACCTTTATTCTAATTTTCTTCATTAAGCAAAAATATATGGGCAATGGCATAGCTTTTGTGCAGCAAGTCAGGACAGAAAGGGATGCAATTCAAGGATCTAGACAGTACTTAGTATCTATTGAGGAGTGCAGTTCGACCAGGGAAGGTTTAGAATTGTAGGTAATCACAGTTCTTGTTAGCAGACCAGCAGACCATATCTCACCACGAACAACCTGGGGAGCCCATTTACACAGTGTCATAGCAGAGTAAAATACACATGTAAATGCTTTTCCCATCTGCTGTGTTATACCATTATAAGAAAACTTTCATAAACAAGTAAGGGACTTCGGAAGCAGGATTTGAAAGTGCCAAGGTTTACTCTTGGGGATGAAAGCACAGAAATAAATGCTCTGTAAGTTTTCTCTGGAGACTGGAGTGTGCAGGCAGACAGGTAGGGATGGGGGAGGCCCTGAGAGTAGTGGCCTGGAATACCCCACACACAATTTTACAGCCAGGTTGTTAGAATAGGGCAAAAGGGATTAAAGCTTAGATTCATCTCTCCTTCTTTTGCTTTCTGGGAACACGACCCTTCTCAGAGGTAAGGGATGAAGCTATTTTTAAAACCTCCAGAGAAAGTAATCCTACAACCGCCTTTGGCAATTCAATATTATATTTAGCACTTCATGTTCAAAAAACATCCCCTTATACCTAACCTCAAATTTTCACACACCACTTCTTACACCTTGCTCTCTCATTCTCTTCACAGTGGGGGTGGAGAGCAGCTGGGTACCATCTTTTATGTGATCCATAGGAGTTAAAAATACACACACAGCAAAAATACCTACTTGTTTTCTATCTTAACTATTTGATATGGCCTAAATATAAGTAATTATTTCATGCTTATCTAGCCTCTATAAAGTAACTTTTTATATTTTAGTGACTATAAAGGGTCAAAAGTTGCCCCAAATAACCCTATCACTCTCCAAGTATACTAATCACTATAAATTTCTGTATTTGTCAGTTTCTCTAAGAATTAAAATGTATGTTAAATGAAATGAGCTTATAAGATTTGACATTCATTTTTATTTAAATTGATAGAAAAATGTAATACTTTTGAGATCCACAATATCCTTAAGTCCTCTAAGCCATAGCAGAATTAGTTATAAGTCTTAGAAATGCAGATGAAAGTAACATCTGTCTGTGCGAGTTGGGAGGCAACAGAGGTGGGTGAGAAACAAAGACTCAAGAGCCAGGTAAGTGAGGGCAAGAAAATGGATTGAGGCACTTAAGGACATCACAGGAAGAAACTGAAATGGGTCTAGCAGAATTAGGATAAACTTAAGATTGAATATCTAAGTACAGTTAAAGATGCAATTCCAAAACGAAACCAAATGAAAAATGAAGCTGGAACATTCTCTCTATATATAATTAGAACACGGACAAACCTTGAAAACCATAGTTACAGCGAAAGATTGTCAGACTGTATCCATCCAGTCTAATTGAATTTGTGTATCCTTTGAGGCACATCTCCTCTTTCCCAGCCTCCCTCCTCCAATTTCTAGTAACCGCCTTCCTACTCACTGATATTTATCAACTATTTCATATTCCACATATATTTGAGATTATGCAACATTTGTCATACTGTATAAAGTGATCATAGTTAATGGTAATTGCATATTTCAATTTTGATAAAATAGAGCTTTGAGGTTCTCGACACAGAAGTGAAGATATATTGCTGAGATGATGTATATATTCATTATCTTGACTGGATTTTTCTATAATGCATTTGTAGATCAAAACATCACACTGAACCCCACAAATATACACAATTATCACAAGTGTTTGCCAGTGAAAATGTAAAGAAATTAAATGAAATTTGAACTACTTTTAAAGTGATGTATCATTAAGAAACATCAAAACCATAATTTCAGCTAAAAGCACTAAAAACAGTAGAAATGAGATGTTAAAGAGGGATGTTTGAACAAGATTTGATGGCCTAGAGTACAGCTCTAAATATTATTATACAGCCACAATGTAGAGCTTGAGGTACTTTTTACAGGACATAGGTATACCTGAATGAAATGAACTAATGCAAAAAAGTTTAAAGGAGAGTTTAGGCTGCAAGCTCCCTGTATCCCACCCCTAAAGATTTTTTTTTTTACTGGAATGGTTAACATTTGGACTGTTCCAGAATGTATGAAACATTTTGATATCTGTTAACTTACCCTTGAGAATTCCAGCCATCTATATTGAAAGCGCCTGCTTAGGTTTGGAATTCTGGAATAAACCATTCTCCACACCAAATAGTTGGCAATGGTTCTATTAAAGGAGAAAAATGAAAAATTAATATATTTTAGGTCATATCTGATTCCCTGAAAAACACCTTTGGAGAGCTGTTGGCAAGGATAATACAAGGTTAATGAGCACCACCAAAATCAGCTTGAAGATTCCAGCCCCAAGGCATAGGCCTCCCCCCAGGCTCCTGTGCCTGCAAATAGGAATACCTTCAAATTACTAAAGACTTGACCTAATGCCTGTGTATTATTGGCCTTTCAGAAACTAAAATCAAAATATTCATTAATGACAATCATCTAAATTTTTACTTTGTTTCTATAAGCTCTAAGTATGTGAGCCTACACAAGTCATCTAAGCCTTCTTGATTCTTTCCTTGTGAAACAATAAGGATGTTCTCTGCTTCACAATGTGATTGCAAGGTTAAAATAGCAAAGTAATTAACAGAGGGAACTCCTAAGTCTCTGTTGACTTGGAAACATACGGAGAATCTCATATGGTTCGGTAATGCCCTAATCCATAGTTTCAAGACTCTGTTCTAGTTTAAATGTTGCATTTTCTATAAGGACAAGAATCCCTGACCTCAGAAAGATGTGTGGTCTGAGTTCATTTCGAACTCACCAGTGATGATAGATACTTAATGACCCATTCCCTCTTAGCTGTGCCATTACCATGGTGACTAATAACACACATTCCTAAGATGTCTCCTGGGTCATGCAGAAATGTGAACGGCAGTGAGACATGATGATCGTAACCAACTCAACAAGAACAATTCACATGTTCATTTGCATGATACTCTGCCACAGTAGATATGTTCTCCAATGAGCCAAATAGTTTTTGAATATATACAAGTATAGAGATGTTTGTTTTAATTTATATAGACATACAAATTAATATACCAGGAACATTTTTGAGACAAGTTTTCACTGTGTAGCCCATGCTGACCTCAAGTTCATGATCCTTATGCCTATCTCTCTTAAGTGTACTGGGATTACAAGCATGTGCCACCATGCTTGAAGATTTGTGTATTTTTATTTTATGTGCTTAAGTGTTTTGTATGTGTGTTAGTACACCAAATACGTGCAGTGTCTGCAGAAGCCAGAGAAGGTTATAGTCCCCTGGAACGGGAGACTTACTGATGGTTGTAAGTCACCATGTGGCTGCTGATAACTGAACCCAGGTCCTCTGCAAGAGTAGCAAGTGCTCTTAACCATTGAGTCATCTCTCCATCCCCTCAAAGAATTATTTTTAATATATACAGGAATCAAAAATTTTAAAGATAAAATATTTAGGGTCATCAATTAATTTTTCAAACATCATGTCATTTGTACTTTAAGACATATTATCCACATAAAATTATGTTAGTATGACCAGGTATGTAAATATGTGTTTCATATAGTCTTCTTGACTATTTCAGAAAGTTTTGGCATACCCTTGTCAGATCTGACTCAGTCACCACTGTTTTTCCCTTCTGACTAACTAAAATGGCATGGTAGTATAGAAAAGGGACACTGCCATTTTCTTGTTATTAATTTGTACTTCCATTACTAATAATCACTTCAATTCCTGTTTTTCTAAAGGAGGGATTAGGTGGGGGAGGGAGGGCTGAGGGAGAGAGTATAAGGAGAGATGACTGGAATAGGTGGCATTTGGGGGGCAATGTGGAAACCCAGGGCAGTGAAGACCTCCTAGAACCTATGAGGGTGACCCTAGAGAGGTCTCCTAGTAATGGAGGATATGGAGCCATCTTCTGTAGCCAGACTAGGCTTCCAGTGGTGGAACTGGGACTTCAACCCAGCCTCAAAACCTTGGACCCACAACCTGTCCTGACTTTAAGATGCCTGGGGGAAATGGTAGCTCAGAGCTTATGGGAATGGCCAACCAATGACTGGTCTAACTTGAGGCCCAAGCCACAAGAGAGAGCCCATGCCTGACACTGCCTGGATGGCCAGAAACCAGAATCCAGATGGTTCAGAGACCTAGGATAGACCCAAATATGATTGACAAAAAAGTCAATGAAATGATTCTTAAAGATACTCTACTATACTCTTAGATTAGTGCCTAGCCCAATCATCATCAGATGGGAGCAGGTGCAGAAACCCACAAACATTAGGTGGAACTTGGGGAACCCTGCAGAAGACAGGGAGGAAGACTTTTAAGAGTCAGAGGGATCAAGGACACCAGAAAAACACAACCCACAGAATAAACTAAGCAGGGCTCATAGGAACTGAGAGACTGAAGCAGCAATTACAGAGCCTGTGTGGATCTGTGTTAGGCCCTCTGTATATATGCTGTGGCTGTTTAGCTTGGGGGTTTTGTTATATTCCTAATAGGGAGAGGGGGGTGTATCTGACTCTTTTGTCTGTTAACAGGACCCTTTTCCTCCTACTGTGTTGCTATGTACAGCCTTGATATGAAGGTTTATGCCTAGTCTTATTGCATCTTGTTATACCATGTCCAGTTGATATCACTGGGAGGCCTGCTCTTTTCTGAAGGGAAATGGAGTAGCAGCAGTGGATCTGGGGGAGAAGGGAGGTGGGGAAGGACTAATAGGAGGGTAAGGAGGGGTGGGAGAGGAAGCTGCAGTCAGGATGTATCATATGAGAGAAGAATAAAGAAAAATTAAGACAAAAAAGAATTTCTAAGTATTTCAGAATTACTTTTAATGTACAAATGAAAACAAACTAACAATAGTAAACAGTGTGTCCCCTAAGCTATGGGCCCGTGGTCATCAATATAGTAGAACTCTATTAATCATAATTATTTTTTAATTTATAAAATGAAAATACAGACATTCTAAAATTTTCTTCTTGCACCCAAGACCATGCTAGAGTATGCACATATCTCCTCAGAGTCCAACATCCAAATAATTTAAGTCTTGCCCTCAGCCATGTTCTGTTTCGGTAACTAAAAGAAACACGCCATCTTAGGCCTTTCCTTTTTGCCTACACATCCCTACTTCTCAACAAACCAAGAAATTCTCACCAAGCATTTACTGTTGACTCTGCACCTACAGTCAGTGTGATGGTTAACACTGTCAATTTGACAGGCTCTAGAGTCACTTGAGAAACAAGCCTCTAGGCAAGCCTGGGAGAAATTGTCTAGATTGAGTTAACTGAAGTTGGGAGACCCAGCCTGAAGGCCTGCCTATTCTATGGGCAGGAGTGCCAGCTCAAATAAAAAGAAGAAAGCTAGCAGAATACACACATTTACTTCTCTCTGCTTCATGGCTGTAGATGCAATATGAGCAACTGCCTCAAGCACTAGCCACCATGATGACTTCTCCATTATGATAGACTGTACCTGCAAACTGTGAGATGAAATAAGTCCTTCTTTCCTGCTTTTATGGAGTATTTGGTCCCACCAACGTGGAAAGGAACTGATACAGTGGAGAATGAAATATTTTAGCTTACTAGTATATTTTTCTTAACTGTACAGATATACTGTAATATATAAGAGATCCTTCTTTCATGGACTCAACACATCATAAGTACCTAGGTATGAACTAATAGTTCTAGTTACTAGAGAGATGGAGAGGTGAGAAAAAATATTGACTTTGAGATAGTGAAGCTTTTAGATGAATACATAGATAGCTGAAGCTTAGAATCATTTAGTGAAATCTTCATCATACAGTCAGTGGGTTTCAAACAAGTAGACTCAGCTGGAGAGTTTTGATAAGTGAAGATGCTCAGGCCACCCCATGTCAATTAAATCACCAGCTCTAGAGTAATATCTAACACAAATATTATCTTTAAGTCCTGCCCCCACCAAGGCCTATGTATAGTCCACTGTAATAAGCCATGGAGGCTAGGTCAGGGCCAGGTATGTCTAAAGCCTGTGTGCTTTCCCACACACCACACAGTGATATGTGAAAGCTACTAATTCAACAACAGTTTCCTGACCAATCACAAAACTGTGAAAACACTTCACCAGAGGTGCTTTGCAGAAATCTATGGAGATTTAAACAAAATGAATAGTGAGGCCTTTATGGCTATGACCTTACTAAGACAATAGTGTAACAAGGTCTCTGAGAGGTAGAAGATGGAATGCTGCCTGGGAAGCTCACCTGGCGAGACAATGACACTGATGAGTTGTTCCAATGTGTTATAAAATTCCTGACAAAACACTATGGGGTATAGCTTAGGAGTGATAATATCACCACACCCAGAACAGAGATGACCATAATGACTGAATCACTACCACCTAATGATCAGACATGTCAAAAAAAATCAGACTCAGCCACAGCCATTGAAAATGGTCCATTATATCCTTCTTTTGGTCCAAAAAGCATTTTTTCACAATATAGTAATTTCCCCTAATGGTAATAAATAAAGAAAAGAAAATCATCCCAGCAAAGAACCCACCACTAGGACAGCAATGTGAAATTCTTCCCCAAAGCCTCTGACTCAGAAGATTTGCTAATTAAGAAGTTTTTGCTACTCTCCCTCATGTTCTCAACTATCAGAAGTTTATATGTATATTACATTTAAGAGATAAGATAGCTTCTGTGATAGAACAGTGCTGTGGGGTGGCTATTATTATCCCCATTTATAGATGGAGAAAGAAAAGGTCAAAAGTCAAGAGACTTTCAAAGAAGTTCCCAATCTTTCCATCTGAATTTGCATTTACTCTTCCCTCCTCATACCTACCATTTGAAGTGAGCCATAAAGGTTCTCAAGAACCAACGAAGTCTAAAATCCTTTAGACTGTCCAGAAAAATGCCTCAGGCAGTAGTTCTCAAAGTAGTCTTTGGACCAGCAGGTTAGACATCACTGGAAAACTAGGTATATCCCTACCCTAGCTCTATCATTGCATTAATAACTATAGTGATGGGGCCCCAGAAATGTGTGTGTTAACAAGTCCTACACACCCAATTCTGATGTGTGGCATGGCTGAGAACTGACAGTCTAGTAAAATCCCATTTTCTAAACATTCTGAATACATAGCTCAACTAGGACTTTCTAAACCCTAGACCAATCCTTAAATTTTAATGTCAATATATGAATGTCTGTATCTCTGGAGATCTT